AGAGAGAGAGAGAGAGAGATAGAGAGAGAGAGAGAGAGAGAGAGGGTCAGTGTCCAATATTTGACTAAATTCTCATTTCTTGACTTTCTCCGTGGCGAAAATGGCGGAATTTTTCGGTGGTTTGAAAAATATATAACAATAATAGTCACTAAAAAAAAATTATGTTTAAAAATTTTTGCTTTTAATTTATGTTCTGTTCATAGGAGAAGATTTACTATCCGAAAATGCATTAAAATATTAATATGGGTATTAACCCAATTACATCCAATAACGCATTCAATTATACAAATTTCTGATGAATAATTAGAAGTATTAGAACATTAGAACAGAATTTAGTTTTACTCGCCAAATTATCGTATAAGTAACGTCATCTGACGGCGAGATCGCGAGACTGCGCAAAAGGATTGATTCATTGCAAAGAATATAACAATCTTTTAACCTAAAAATTCACGCAGTGGCACTTGAGCGTGGTGCGTTCGTTTGGAATCTAGTCTAGGGAAGGGAGATGAGCGATGCTGAGCTCCAGGAGGAGGAAAGAGAAGTATTACTCTCGATATACGACGGCGATTCGGCTTTCAAACAGCTGACACCCACAACATTTCAATACAAGGTGCAAGATTATATCTTATACTTTGCAGCTCTTTTCTTCCATAACTTTGTCACGAGAGCATCGTCACCATGTGAAAAATAATTTAGCATAAATTGTAACAATACCAAAGGATATTTACATATTAAAATATTCAAGGATATTTGTATATATTAAAATAGCTGTTAATTTGTGGATGCAAATATTTATATTTACTTTATATTTACTTTATTCATAGTTTTATAGCTTATGCATTATTCAAAAATTTCTTTTGTATCTCCACATTTGAAGTCCAAATGTAACGTTTGTTCCGTTTTACAATTATGAAAAAAGAAAAAAGTTAACACACGCGCTCTTAGTTTTAATTATTATATTTCTTGTTTGCATGTTAAGCTTATTTAACATTTAAGATAAGTTGTAAATGTCAATTATATGAGTGATTTTTTTACGTAGTATGGGGAAGATAACAATATGAAATCATTTCTACTGGAAATTTCCTGGGGCCCAACATATCCTACAGAAAAACCGACTATCAATATGAATACATTTTACAATAAACACATGTAAGTGCAATCAAGTGAGCGCTCAACTATTTTTTATTTATTTGATTACTTTAATTAAAGATGAATAATTGGAATATAGTGTGCAAGATGTAAAGGACAAGGTGGTGAGTCACATAGAAGCAGAGGCTGAGCAGTGGTTAGGTAGCGCTATGACATATACGTTATTTCAATCTGTCCAAGAACATTACTCAGACCTAGTGTGCATGCAACCAGACTCAATTGTCGATATAAATTCGCACACTAGTAAACTGAAGATTACAGAAGAGAATCAACAGGTATATACATTGAGTGAAATGTCAATTTACTATTATTAAAAATTATTGCAAATAGAATGACATATAATTCTTCTAAGGTCGAGGAAACGATGAGAAAGCCGAAGAAGGAACATTTAAGTAAAGCTCAGAAGCGTAGGCAGTGGAACAAAGCAGATGGCAAAGGTGAAAGGCAGCGAGGATGGAACTGGGTGGACATAGTAAAACATTTATCACAGACTGGGCCTAGAATGGAGGAGGAATCGTAGCCCAAGACCATATATTTTGTACAGTTGAAAGGCATGTTATATTTTTATAAATTGTTGGAAATAAAACTTATTTCCTTATCTATTTTTCAAAGTGTTTTATTCTCATATTGTTTTTTCATTATTATTGTTTTTTTATTACAATTGAATAGAAAAAAATTATTTCAATAAAGAATAATTAGCAATTATAAGCTTAATTTTCTCTCTCTCAACAATTTACTTCTAGTTTAATTCACAGATAATTGATCTTATCAATCATTATCCATGGAAAATCTCCATGCGCCAACTGCCAACAAATTAGTCTTCGTTTTCCATCCTAAAATTATTCATACTTATATTTGTACTTAACGCTAAATCATTATTAATTTAATGAATTACGTACCATTCATTTCTAAAGTGCTAAGGAATGCTTTATACTCATTAGAAACAATTATATCTGTAGCATGGATACTTTGTATAGTTACGACCGACATATCGCTATTTGAATTCGCAGTAAATATCCTGTGCAGGATATATGTATTCAACAATGGATACGATATTTCAGATGTTTCAGATTTCAACAGCATATCCTGTGTAATATTACAGTATAATAATAATTAATAAAATATGCATTAATAACAAGACATAAAAAAAACTTTGATTACTTACTATTGGTATTTTTCTTGCTAGACAAAGGTAGAAAGCATACATGGAAGCATAAAAATATGCTTCCAGTATTTCGGCAGATTGTATATCTTTTTTAAGAATTATAAATATATTCCGTTTTTCAATATCTGCTGTTATTATGTACTTTTTATTTTCAAAGAATTTTAACAAAAATTCCATTTCCGTGCACGAAATTATATTTCTTTTCATGATATTTGCGAACGATACACCAATTTTTATATCAAAATCATGTATGCTTCTGGCTAGAAATAATATCCATGAAATGTTAGAAATTTCTTTTATATAGTGAAAATAAATAATTAGATAATTATATCTTACTAGAATTTTTAAGTAGAAATACCGATTCTTCCTTATTCACTTTCCGCGGATTGGGAATTCGCTCGTTCATCATATAATTTTTAATAATTATAGCCAGACGATCTTCATTGAGTGTATCTAAACACAATGCTTTAACTGCCGAATAATTCGCATAGAGATGGACTGCCACCAGGAAGAGATATAATTCTAATAAATATCTATATGTATGTATTACTTCATCATTATTAACAGAATTCATAATAGCAAACAGACACAATAAATATACTATATACATACTGTCCTTCGTGGAATAAAGATAATATAAAAATTCCAAAGAATGACGCGATTAGATTTACACACGTCTCTTGACTCCCATCCTTTGCAGAGACATCTGCCACATTATTGTGTATCGCCTATGACAAGAAAGTAATCTTAGCATAAAGGTATGTATGTATACAAAAATAGTTATTCACCTGATGATGAATTAGCGCTGTCCTCGTAGCTCCACCAGCAACACCAACAATGGACTTCATAGTAGTTGAAATACACAGAATTACAACAGAATATGAGGAGAAATATGGCACAAGTAATTCTATCCCTTTGGCTATGTCATCCAAGATATCGGCAAACAACCTCCATTTTTTGCATTGTCCGTCTAATTCAGTTCTATAATAGAAAGAAGCAAAGCTTTAATTGTTATTAAGTTAAATGACAAAAATGCATAACGAATATTCTTAAAGAATATCTAATTCTTGTCTGTTTTTTACCCATTCCACCATGCAAACATTATACTGCCAATCATTCCAGTACCACTTTTTAGAATCCACGTTATCGCTGCTGCCAAGGGTGTTGCACTTGACTCTCCGACACCTATCCCTTTCATTATAGAATGCGTCGTCAACGTACCTGTTATAGTACTTGCAAAAGCCTGTAAAATATTAATTTCATCACTTTATTATCACTTTGTCCATAAATGGAGAAAGAAACTTTATATTATAATAATATTGTATTATTATATTAAAAAAGTGTACAGTATGCGAAATATTTATCAAATACCTATGTTTTGGGAATTTAAGCTAACCTGTACAGTATCCCATATTTGATATGCAGTGTAGTCAGGATGTACACTGTCCGGATAGCCTTGCGGCAGAAATATCTGTTTAAGGATGGACACGATCCGGGAATGAATGGCTCGCGATTCGGTGAGACCAAGTCTTGTTTCGCTTGCGCTGAAATCATCTGGCCAACAGGTGTCAACACATAGTAAGGTTAATACGCGACTCATGTGATACGCAGGGATGATTCAATCGATTCATTAGGTACGTGAAATTTTACCTTTTGACTTTATGCAAACTATCTCTCTCTCGTTCCCATAACTTTCACGAAAGAGAACGCGCATATTCGCGGGAAGAATGCCACGTCAAAAATTCACTCCCATTCACTTCATTCACCACTCGCGTTAGTAGTACCAGTACCTAACGTTGTACGTATGTATGTACACACATACACACGTCGTCTGCTTTTAGATACACACTTAGGTACTCTTGCTTTCTGCAGTACCATTTTTATATCTTTTTTAAGAATTTTTTTAGAAACCATTAGGTATATAGATTAAGAATTTTTGGAATTGTTTTTGTTTTAGATAATTTCTGCATCTTAAATTATGACAACAATAAGACGTTCATGCCCATACAAATTTACAAATAATTGCAAATCACATTTAAAAAATTTTTTAATGTTTGTAAAAGTTTGTAAAAAAAACCAATTTAAGGCGATCCTAAAGTCATCTGTTTTATCGATCGAACGCGATTATTTTCCAAAACAAAATAAACATAATTAAGGTGATGCTGGAAGGTAAAAATTACCGACGTTTGCATTCTAAGTAATAACTCCGAAACGACTGAACGGATTTGAAAACGTTTTTACAGGATTG